ATCTGAGACATGCCTGGATTGATCGAGTTCAAACTTCACACACACATGGTACATCATGTCACAAATAGATATGTGCATTTGTTTCATGATCCGCTTAACAATAGCTGAATGATGGCCATTTTAAGGCCGAAAATGCATCAAAATCACGTATTTTCACAATTCCGGAACCGGATCTCAGTCATGCATGGATGGATTTTGTTCAGATTTAGTACAATCTGTTGTACATATGCAGGTGCATTTCGGATCAGACCACGGAAAGTGGTCTGCAATTTCGGTCATGATCTGCTTTGAATGTATATGTCACTCAAATATGAACGGAACAGGGACGTGTCATTGACAATGACTTGTTTTTTATTAATTTTTTGCATAATTACAACTGTGTAATTGGGTGGTGGACGTTTAAAGATGTTTTGTACAGTCAAATATGTGTTAGTAACCTCCTCTATATGAAAAAAAAAACCTGTCACAGTCACCATGTCATGTTCACTGTAAGTTATATGCGTTCTGCCATATCATGTTTGATATTACCGCCAAAAGAAGCATTTATGAAATATGCTAACTCAAAATATCATGTATTCAGACACACAAATTACTGTTAAACATTTTGAAAAATCAACATGCAATTTTAGCAAAATGTTGATTTAGTGAATCTCTTTTGTCATTGTTGATTTCCTGTTTTCACAATACTTTTTTTTCGCATGCCAAAATAAATGTGCAATTATCACCTCCATAAAAACAAAGAAAAACTGTCAAGTGTAATTAGGAAGCGCCCCAGATTTTGATGTTCCGGATTACTGTATACAAATCCCCAAGCCTTGGTCATTTTGAATATATAATAAAGTCATTAGCGTCATCTTAAATTAGCAAATCATTTGTCTCGCTAAATTTGCTAAAAAGACATGTTTTACAGTACTGTAAAGGGGGTAATTATTCACTGGGTTTTAATTTTGATTATTTTGCTGACTGGAAAATGTGCTAAATTAAAACTCAGTGAATATGTAAAATTTAGCATAGAACACAATATCTAAATGACGAAACCATGAATTTAAAACCCACTAAATATGCCTAAAATGGTAAATCAGTGAAATTTAAACCCAGTGAAAATTAGTCATTTTACAGTATATTGTTAATTCTATTAAACAGTGTGTTATTTTTCTTGTGTTTATACATATATAGCACTGCTTTATCTTAAACAAATAACAGGTATTTAACATATTTTATAGAACTCTGTTAGCTCATGTTTAGTTTACACTTCAGGTATTCATCTTCCAAATTTTTGTTCATATCCTTATATCTTAAGGTTAAAATATTTTTTTTTATTTGTGACATTTGCTAACTTGAAAGCTGGTTGATTTGGTTAATTAGTCCCCGTTCGGACACAGTCCGAAAACGGGGACTTATGTTTTGACCTCCATGTGTCCGTGTGTGCGTGCGTCTGTGCATGCGTCCGGACCTGTATCTTAGAAATGCCTGGACCAATCACAATCAAACTTCACACATACATCATACATGATATTATACATATGCACGTCAATTTGTTTCATGATCTGATTCAAGATGGCCGAATGGCGGCCATTTTTGTGCTAAAAATCATCAAAATCAAGCATTTTTCGGCTGTTTACAGATGGATTTTGTTCAAAATTGGTATATACGTTAGACATTATAGGACCTTGAAGCACATAATTTTGTTTTACAATCTGATTCGAGATGGCCGAATGACGGCCATTTTTGTGCTAAAAAATCATAAAAAGCAAGCATTTCTCGACTGTTTACAGATGGATTTTGTTCAAACTTGGTGTATACATTAGACATTATGGGACCCTGATGCAAATAATTTTGTTTTTCAGATTAGATTCAAAATGGCCGACTGGTGGCCATTTTGTTTTTATGAATGTGGTTCTCGTGCCATATGTCTGACTTGCTTTTACTGATTATGTTTAAATTTTAAATATTCATTATAGATCATGTCATAGATAGACAGATATATTCGTTTGACGATCCTATTCAAAATGGCCAAATGGT